TTCTGAATTTGGAACTAATATCTGCATTAGAACTGAGTTCAAGAATATTTGAATAAGGAATGCAAAGTGTTTTAAATATTTGTGTTTCTAAAGCATTTTGAAGATTAAGAAAAAAAGTGTTAAGTGCTCCTATGATAATTTTTAGAAGTTAAGGTGTCATAGTACCCATTAAGACCTGCCGTGTGACATTTACTGATGGGGACTGTGCCTTAAATCTTTCTTGAATAACAGCTGAGTTTGACCTGGCTCTCTGGCCAGCATACTGGGCTCTGCCACACTCTCCTGTTTGCATAAATGTCATCAGTTTCTTCTTTGCATCAGGAATAGACACCATTTTTTCTCTTTGAAGGAAGAACATGAGATTTGGAGCCAGAAAGAGTTATACAACTACAATATGATTAATTCTCTTTAATCTTTCATTATGTCCTTTGATTTTATCATTCCCTGCAAAATAAAAGCTGCAGTCTTAGTAGTATTGCTTTCAAAGTTCTGTGTTGGTGGTTTTCAGCTCAGGATGCATATTAAAGCAAAAAGAGAAGCTTTAAAAAAAATATCAAGAACAGAGTGGGGTTTCGGCATTTGGAATTTTGTGTCCATGTTCATGAGGGATACTGGTATGTTTTCTTTTGTTGTAATAGATTATTGTGGTTTTGGTATCAAAATAGTTCTGGTCCCATAAAATAATTGGGAAGCGTTTTCTCCTTTTTTATTCCCTCAAAGAGTGTAGAAATGCAATTATTTCTTTAAATGTTTAGAATTCACCAGTATAGCTCTCTGGATGAGGAACTTTCTTATTTGGAAAGCTTAAAAATACAGAATAGTTTCTGTGATGGATATGGGCCTATTGAGGTTATCTGTTTCTTCAGTGTGAAATTTAATAGTTGGTGTTTTTCAAAGAGTGGTTTGCGTCTGTCCAGTTCATTTAAGTTGTTGAATTCATGGACATAAAGTCTTTATAATACTTTCTTATTTCTATAATGTCTATAGAAGCCGTAGTTGATAACCCTTCTTTGATTCTTGATATTGGGAATGTGTTTTATTTCTTTTTTTCTTAGACTGACTAGAGATTTATCAATATTATTGATTTGTTCAGAGAATCAGCTTTTGGTTTTATTAATTTTTCTCTATTTTTCTGTTTTTTAATTTCACTGATTCCTGCTCTTATGCATATTTTTTTTTTCCTTTTGCTTGTTTTGGGTTTAATTTCCTGTTCTTTTTCTAGTGTCTTAAGATTATTGACTTGAGAAATGTCTTTTCTAATATAAGCATGTTTGATACTTACGAAGTGGAAAGTGCCCATCCTTTCATGCTTTCCTTTGGCTGCCTTCTTTCCACCCTGGATGCAACTGTTGTTATTTTTTCAATGTCTTTTCACAGAATGCTCCATAGCATTCTAGTAATTATTTTGTTCCATGCTTTGCCTTTTTTTTTTTTTTAAACTTAGTAATCTATCCTGGGTATAATTCTTTGTCTTTCACATATTAATTTTTATTCTTTTTTATGATAGCATAAATAGTAGGTCTTTTATTAATGGACATTTAAGGATAGGGCCTGGGTCTTAGTATTTTTAACATTTTTATTCTTTTTATGGATTCCATTATGAAAAATTTTATGCATACAGTTCATATATTTTAAGTGTCTTTTAACCTCTAAGTTTCCCTTCCTCATTTTGTGCCTTTAAACCATTGCCTTGTCCAGTAAGGTAACCCTCACTTTCCCAGAATTCATTTGTTTTAAGCAGTTTTTACTGAGAATTAGAAAATACTTGGGGTGCCTGGGTGGATCAGTCGGTTGAGCGACCGACTTCGGCTCAGGTCATGATCTCACTGTTCGTGGGTTCGAGCCCCACGTTGGGCTCTGTGCTGACAGCTAGCTCAGAGCCTGGAGCCTACTTCAGATTCTGTCTCCCCCACTCTCTCTGACCCTCCCCTGCTCCCGCTGTCTCTATCTCTCCCAGAAATAAATAAAAACATTAAAAAAAAGAAAATGCCTACAGAAGGATGCCTAAAACAAATCACAGTTTAATGACTCATTGTAATGCAGATGTCCCGTGTAGGTACTGTGCAGGCCAAGGGGTTGAGTATTGTCAGCACCTGGAAAACCCTTCGTGTGGTCCTTTCTGTGTATCTCCTTCCCTTCTCCCACAGGTAATCCATCTCCTGATTTTTATGGAAATCTCTTATAAGATTAATTTTTACTTTCACCTGGATACTCTCTCTTCATGAAATCTGTATCTGCAAACAATGGTTTGAGCATATTTACCTTAAAAAAGGTCATTAGCTGTGCAGCAAGGCTCCGACCACTGTTCATGAGCCCCATCTCTTCATTCTTGCTCCCTGCTCACACTCTAGACTTCAGGAACGTTTTCTTTTGTTGCTTCATCTTTCTGGGCCACTTCACTTCAGGACAGAAACGGCATCCATTGGAGTTCTTAGTTGTAAGCAATAGAAACCACCTCTGGAGGCACCGGGGTGGCTCAGTCCATTTGAGTGTCCGACTTCAGCTCAAGTCATGATCTCATGGTTTGTAAGGTCAGGCCCTGCATTGTGCTCTCTGCTGTCAGCGTGGATCCTGCTTTGGATCCTCCTTCCCTTTCTCTCTCTGCCCCTACTCCACTCATTCTTGTTCTCTCTCTCTCTCTCAATAAACTTAAACAAAATAAAAAGAAACCATCTCTGGCTAATTTATTAAAAGGGTATGTGTGACCCACAGACGCTCCAAGAAGGCTGGGAAAGTGGGCTTAATGACCACACTGCCAAGAACAAATCTCAAAATTGTGTCACAAAACTGGTCTCGTGAAGACACCCCTGCCACCTCTCCAGAGCACAGATATTGTTGCTTGTACCCCACATACCACTGATGCTGAGCCGAGGACCCGTCACACGTGTCTGTGTCTCTGCCGCCTCAGGAAGCTGGGTGTGCCTGCTAGTGCAGCCGTGCTTGCTGGCAGGTCCTCTGGAGGCCTCCTCCTACAAGCTAACGGTTCTCTGTTTGGGCCAGAGCAGGTGCGTCTTCCTGGCGGAGCTTGGGGCCATGTCTTAGTTTTGAAGAAAGATGGGAAAGCAAAAAGGAGAGCTTTTTTTTTTTCTTTCTTCACACTTGGGTGGTAGGACGTGTATTTGTCTCATAATATAAGGCATGCTTAGAGGTAGACTTGGCATTTAGATGGTTGGTTACCAAAAACAAATGCCCACCCTAAAAGTTCTGTATTGGTCTTAGAAATCCATTCCTTTCAGTAGTTGATGTTCTTTGTAGCTACACCTGTTGTTTTAACTTTTTTTTAAATGTTTGCTTATTTTTGAGAGAGAGAGAGACAGAGAGAGACAGAGAGACAGACAGACAGACAGACAGACAGCCAGAACACGACCAGGGGACGGGCAGAGATAGAGGGAGATAGAATCCGAAGCAGGCTCCAGGCTCTAAGCTGTCAGCACAGAGCCTGGCTCAAACCCACGAACCATGAGATCATGACCTGAGCTGAAGCCAGACGCTTAACCGACTGAGCCCCCCATGGGCCCATCCTGTTGTTTGTACAGTGCAGTGAGCATTTGACACAGGCATGTTCCTTACATCACCAAGGGCCGTATAGGACGTGGAGCGGTGTCTGTATTTCTGAATTACTTGTATTTTAAAAACCCCATCCTAGGGACATCTGGGTGGCTCATTTGGTTAAGTGTCGTACTCTTGATTTTGGCTCAGGTCATGATCTCATGGTTCATGAGATTGAGCCCTGCATTGGGTTCCATGTGCTGACAATGTGGAGCCTACTTAGGATTCTCACTCTCCCTTTCTCTGCCCCTCCCCTGCTTGTTCTCTCTCTCTCTCAAAATAAAACTTTTTAAAAAACTAAAAAAAAAAACCCATCCTAATTTTAGCTAATTGCAGGGATTCTGGTTTTATGAATAAACTGAAAGATGTAATAGTTGAAAATCAGACTATAACAAGCATTAATTAGTATTTCCTGAAGATCTTTTCACTGAGAACCTTCTGGCTTATAAACCATTTGCCTTTTTTTCAGGTGTGATCTCACTGTATAAAAGTTTTAGAAAATGGGAAGCACTCTATTAGAGCCATTAATAAAGATAAATAGGGTGACGCTTGCTTTTCAAAACAAGATGATATAGTTCTCATCATTGTAAAGGTATTTTACTCTTACTATGAAACTTTGTAAGCACAAGCTTTATAAAATGAACACAAAAGCCCATTGTTAATTTACATGTGCTGACTTTAAAAACTGGCTAGTGGGGTTTTCAGCTGCTATGAAACCAGGGAATAGTTGAATGGAGGGAACAGTGGACATGTTGGGTCTGAGGGCCTTGCTGATACTCTCCTGGGTCTGCAGGTATGTGTAGCATTATTGTAGATAGTTCATGTATGTTGGACATTCCAACTCCAGTTACTAAGAAAGAATTAGTATTACTATCACTTCCCCTTTAGTTTTCTCACCATGGTGTTATGGGGAGATCTGAGACAGATATGATCAAGCTTCTTAGAGTAAACACATGGTACTGCAAGGTTGTCACAGTAAGAACAAAGATGAATGTACTATAAAAGCTTTATAGCAGTGTGCACCCTGTGGGTTTACTATATAACAATAAACTGTTGTTATCGTGCTGGAAGGGACACATTTCTGAATTATTCAAACCGGGTGGTGCCTCAGTTTTGAATACTAAAAACAACTCACTTGTGGATTTAATGGGCTAAAAATTGATAGGAAATTTACTTCTGGTTCATCCATGTGTCCTGTCTACAGAGCCAGTAGAAAATTCTTTACAGAATGTTTATAAAGCTCCTTTCCAAATAATTCAGGTTAGTTTTAGCACTTTTTACCTAACATACATGAGGCCTTAACACTCCAAGTTTTCTAAAAATCCAGGGTAATAATTGTAGCATATAATGGTAGGGGTGAATTTACTAGTTGCTTGATATTTAGTGATACATTTGATTAATGCTTTTGTGGTTCCAGATAGCAATTGTTTCTAATATAATTTATTTTGCAGTGAGGGCCGAGGCAAGTTGACCGTATTTTCAGTTAAAGCTATGTTAGCAACCATGTGTGGTGGAAAAATGCTGGACAAATTGAGATGTAAGTACTTTCATATTATTTGAAAGATTTTATTTTCAAATTAGGACCTTTAAACAGTTTTAAATGAATGTTTTCAGAATTTTGGATGATGCCATCATGAACTTTTTTGTGTTCTTACTACATCTTTCCCTTTGTAGCCACTGGCAACTGGCTCATTGTGTCTCAGTCATGCCACCTACTGTCGAGACGGACACATTGGTTTTGTTAGTTTGTTTAGGTTTTTTTTCTTTTTTTTAGAACAAAGTGACAAAACTGAAGAGATTCAGAACAGGAACGTGGACCTTAAAGTCTCTTAAAAATATTTAACATCCATGTTATTAAAATTTTTGCTTGCAGATGATTATATTGATTGCTTTTAGTTAGAAAATAAATTTGATTACTTTTACCAGGTTTGGTCAAGATTAGCCCTTTAAAAAAATAAGCTTATTCTTCATCAGAGGGTATTTGATGTGATTAAACTTTTCCTTAGTACCTTAGAGTTAAGCTCAGTTATTTAGAAATTTATAGCCTATTTTTTTCACCTATTTTTCCTGTTGGCCATTTTGTCATTTTATTGTTCCCAAATATACCATAAGATTAAATGACATCAAAAGAAGCAACATTCACAGTAATTTAATTTTTCTGCTTATGGTTTTCACCTAATCATTTATTAGATAGATACTAACTGCCTGAGATACGCCAAACATTGTACTGAGTGCTTCACATGTGTTTTCTCACTGAATGCTTAACATTTCTTTGAGCGGCAGGCAATATTTTCTCTACTTCATAGACGAGTTAACTGAGGGGGCGAAGCTGGGATTTCAACTCAGGCTGTCGAGCTTCGTAGCCCCGCTCTAAGCTACTTTGTTGTACTCGGAATCCTGATGCTGCGATGGGCGGTGCATGTAGGATGCAGCACAGGGAGCCAAGGGCCGTTCGGCAAGTAAGGAACGCTGGGGGTTCCAGGGACATGAGGCTGAAGCTGTGGGTTTTAACGAAGTGAGATACCCTGTGAATTGCTTTGTTGAGGAAACTGCGCCATCTGTCCTGGAGCATTTCTCATGGACTCGGTTTTTTGATGATTGCGTCCCTACGATGTTCCTCTGTGTCCGACATTTTTTTGTTTTAATTAAAAGCTATAAAAGCTTGGTCAGATTTAAGCACAAGCTTTTGGGCAGGATGACTTGGCAGGTGCCTTTGTCTTCTGCACTTTTTCTTACATGTTACCATGGCATTGAAAATAGGAAAGCTGGGTGGCTCACCGGATATAGATGTCAATATTCTAAAGAAAGGTCTTACATAATATGTTTGGTCAGTTGTTACCTGGGTTATCTTTCAAAAATCAGCTGTAATGTAAAACAGAATTTTAGTAGTAAAACTTTTAGTTTTATTAAATACTCTTCTATGTATTTTTCACATGATATCTCAAAGTACTATTATTTTGGGCTGAAATTTCTTAGTATGTTTTAATTCCAGCATGGTGTTTTTCTGAGAAAGATATTAATAATGGAAAAGATTATATTTCATTCAAGCACAAAGGAAAAGAAAGTTGGAATTTTATCTTTTTTGTTTTTTAAAGTTTATTTATATATTTTGAGAGAGAGAGAGAGTGAGAGCATGAGCAGGGGAGGGGCAGAGAGAGAGAGGGAGAGAGAGGATGCCAAGCAGGCTCTATGCTGTCAGTGTGGAGCCCAACTTGGGGCTGGAACTCACGAACCATAAGATCATGACCTGAGCCAAAATCAAGAGTTGGACGTTTACCTGATTGAACCACCCAGAAACCCCAGGAATTGTATCTCTTTTTTAATGATGGTAACACCAGATAAATAATATACATTGCCATCTTTATTAGTACTGGAAGAAGTGGCTGAAAAATAGACAATTCATGATATAACTGCAGATAACTCTGGAACCTTCCAGTTTCTGTGATTAAATCAGCTACATTTACATAGAGCTGGAACATGGCACATAGTACATGCCAAATATCAATTGTTGATTGAGTACTAAAATTACTGCAATTCCCTATTGTAACTATTAGCGAAGAGTGCAAATTTTAGTATTATGTGAAGTGTAGAAGGGATTCAGTTAGCGACAGATTTTTTGTTTGTTTTTTATGTGCTTTCAAACTTCTTAGAGGAATACAAGTGATCATTATTCAAGTGGCACAGAAATACACATGCCCAGGCCAACGTGACTTGTCACTGTGTTCACAACACCAGATCACTGCACATCAGATATGGATTGAAGAGATACCAGCCACGCTAGGTCACTAATTACCATGTTTGTGTTATGCAGATAGGGCTAAAATATGGTTTCTTTGTCATCATGTTCAAAATTATAGTTTCTTTACCACCTGTAGTTTTGTTTCATTATTTTTATTGTACTATAATTATCTTGGCTTGAGAAAGACATGTTTAATATAAGTAAAACATTTCAGGTATTGAAGCCTATCTCCATTTCTTAATTTTAATCATTCAGAGTGGAAACCACATTTATGTGGTCTGTCCCTCTTGTTTTAAACAGAATTCTCTGGTTACAATTTACATATTTTTCATAACTCAAGGATGTCATCTTCTGATGCACTTGGGTCTAATTGTGAGGCTCTGGGTTGTTTATCCCTTCTGATGCTTTCAGACAACTTTGTTTTCTCAAGTTCTTGAACTTTTGTTTTTTGTTGTTGTTGGTGGTGTGTGTGTATCCCATTTATCACTGGTAAATGTGATGGAATTATTAGTGTACTGGTCTCTAGAAATCTCTTTGCTTCTGATTTACTTAAAAATTTTTTTTAACTTTTATTTATATTTGAGAGAGACAGAGACAGAGCATGAGCAAGATAGGGGCAGAGAGTGAGGGAGACAGAATCCGAAGCAGGCTCTAGGCTCTGAGCTGTCAGCACAGAGCCCGATGTGGGGCTCAAACTCATGATCTGTGAAATCAGGACCTGAATGGAAGTCAGACACTTAACTAACTGAGCCACCCAGGCTCCCCACTTCTGATTTACTTTTTAAAAAAATTTAAAAAATGTTTTATTTATTTCTGAGAGAGAGAGAGAGAGAGAGAGAGAGACAGTGTGAGCAGGGGAAGGTCAGAGAGAGAGGGAGACACAGAATCTGAAGCAGGCTCCAGGCTCTAAGCTGCCAGCACAGAGCCGGATGCAGGGCTCGAACCCATGAACCGTGAGGTCATGACCTGAGCTGAAGTTGGACACCCAACGGACTGAGCCACCCAGGTGCCCCTGATTTACTTTTATTTCATTTATTTATTTATTTATTTATTAATGTTTTATTTATTTCTAGGAGAGAGAGAGAGAGAGAGAGAGACAGCGTGAGCAGGGCAGGGTCAGAGAGAGAAGGAGTCACAGACTGAAACAGGCTCCAGGCTCTGATCTGGCAGTCAGCACAGAGCCCGACGCGGGGCTCGAACCCACAAACCGCAAGATCATGATTAAGCGAAAGTCGGACGCTTAACCGACTAAGCCACCCAGGCGCCCCCCTGATTTACTTTTAATATGGAGAAAACATAAGCAAACTTCTGAGTGTTGTATTTAAGATACGAATTTAAGTGATGACTCCTATATTATGAGAGAAATACTGGAGCTTTTGTAGTATGATTGGCAGTTTGTTTGCTGTGGGAATCCTTTTCTCCTTGGCTTTCCAAGTCTCAGCCATGTCCTGCTTCATTGAGAAGCCTGAATAACAGCTTAGGCAAAAGTGAGCTATAACAGTATATTGTAATATCCAAAGATATTTGACTAATCACTTTCCATCTGCTTGTTTCATTGACCTTGTTCTCAGTTTCTCCATCTTTCTCCCATTAACTGCACTTTCTTTTTGTTACCTCTGTTAATTTTCCTTTTATCTATTTTAAATGTTTATTATTTATTTTGAGAGAGAGTTTGTAAGTGGTAGGAGGGGCAGAGAGAGAGAATCCCAAGCAGGCTTTGCACTGACATTGCAGTGTGGCTTGATCTCACAAACTTAGGAACATTACCTGAGCCAAAATTCAGAGTCAGACATTTAACCGACAGAGCCACTCAGGCACCCCATGTTAATGTTCCTTTTAAATTCAGTTTTCTAATTTATGGAATACACCTTATGTTTCTACTTTTCTTCCTTTTATTTTGATCTTTCTGCTTTTTACCTTTTACTTTAGATTTTTTCTTATAATTTCTGCCCCCCTTTTATTTGACTTATATTTTGTTTTCTTATTTTAGTTTCAAGATCGCATTTAAAAAAATTTTTTTTATGTCTGAGACAGAGCATGAGTAGGGGAAGGGCAGAGAGAGAGGGCGACACAGAATCTGAAGCAGGCTCCAGGCTCTTCTTAGCTGTCATCGCAGAGCCCTATGCGGGGCTCGAACCCACGAACCGTGAGATCATGAGCTGAGCTGAAGTCAGATGCTTAACTGACTGAGCCACCCAAGTGCCCCTCGAGATAACATTTGGAACAACTTAACCAATATTTGTACTTTTAACTTGAAACATTTCTTAATTGAATTTTCATATCTCTCTTAAGAGAGTTTCTATCCCCAGGTAACATCCAATTATAGAAATAGTTCACTGTTGTGGCCATTAGGAACTGTATCCTAGATTCACGGTTAACTGGGATCATATTCTAAATACCAGTGTTTTATAATCAAAATACAGATTTAATTATAAGCCTGAACAAAACTTAGTAATGTCAGAAACCCTAAAAATAACTCAGAGAATGAAATTTACAGACTGTAAAACCCATTATTTATGAAATCCTACTTGTCATTTAATTTATGTGATTTTATTTGCTTTGTCTAATTTTGGTGTTTGTTTTCTAGGAAACTTAGTCTCTTATTCACACCTCAAGTGTCTCACATTAAAAGATAGGAGCAGATGATTTGGGGCTCCTGGGTGGCTCAGTCAGTAGAATATCCGACTCTTGATATTAGCTCAGGTCATGATCTCATGGTTTATGAGCCTGTGTCAGGCTCTGTGTTGACAGTGTGGAACCTGCTTGGATTCTCTTTTTCCCCCTCTCTCTGCTCCTTC